CTTCTAAAACTTACCCTAAGGGATACCAACAATACCCCACTTATTCATCCCGTTACCCATATCATCCACACTTTCAACCTGTTTATCATACCACGCTTAACCATTCTCGACCTCGACCCAATTACCCAAACACACCCACAACGCCATTTCATATTCCTCTGCCCACTTTTCAAACTAGACATCACCCTCCTTATAATCCAAGACCTACTTCCTCAGCCAATCCGAACTATACCTATCAACAAACCAATGACACCAAAAATCCAACCCCATATAGAACTTTCACCAATCTAGGTCGTCCCATTGATCAACTATATGAACAACTCAAAGTCGCAGGAAAAATTGGTACGATACCTCCTAAAACTTACCCAAAGGGGATTCCTACTGGCTATGATCCTCAAGCTATTTGTGCTTATCATTCTGGAACTCCTAGACATTCAACTGTCAATTTTTAGGCACTTAAGCATAGAATTCAAGATATGATTGAGGCTGGAGACATAGTTTTGAGAAGGAGAGATGAATAAGGACCAAGTATTAGCAAGAATCCTCTTTCTATGCACAAGGATACTGTTGGAGTTATTACCATTGATGAAAAGATCCATAAATATATGCAATACATTGTGGATGAAGCAGGGATAATAGGGATCACTGGAGAGCCATTCATATAGGAAGAAGAAATTCCTGAAGTCCAGAAAAATATTGATCCTTTCATTTTAGATGTTATACCCTTTGAATGCGAGTCTTTAGAGTTTATAGTATTTGAATTGCCTGAACAAATGCCTGTTCTTAACCTTCAAGAAGTCCCATGAAATTATAGTGAGCCTACTTTAGTGATTGGAGGAGAAGAAACGCCAAAGAAGGAGGTGGCCGTCGTTAATAGATCTGGAAGAATCGTAGGCGAACCTGCAGTTAACGAGCCATCTAAAGCAAAAGAAAATGCCGTGCCAACAAGACCAGTTGTGACACTGAAGAAGAGGCATTTAATTTATTTAGGATGTTGAAGAAAAGTGAGTATAAAGTAATCGAACAATTGGATAAAGTGCCCGCTTAAATCTCTATGTTGAATATGCTCTTAACTTCGAAACATCATAGAGAAGCTCTGTTCAAGGCGTTAACCGAGACTCAGGTGCCTAAGAATATTCCAGTTGAAAAATTTACTCATGTAGTCGAGCATATTTTTGCTTCAAATCGGATTTCTTTTTCTAACGAGGATTTGACTTCTGAGGGGATGGGACATAACAAAGCATTGTATATTTCAGTCTGTTGTAATGGGAAGTTATTGTCGAGAGTCTTGATAGACAACGGATCTACTTTGAATATCTGTCCCTCAAATACTTTGGTTAAATTGGAATTTCAAGAAGCTAAACTCCAGCCGCCTTCGACTGTGGTGAGGGGATTTGATGGCGTAAAAAGAGAATCGATGGAAGAAGTAGATTTAGTACTGGAAATAGGACCTGCCCAATTCCAAGTCATGTGCCAAGTCATGGATTTCTCAAGTGTTTATAATATTCTGCTTGGACGACCCTGGATTCATGTTTCGGGTGCTATACCATCTTCGTTCCATCAGATACTGAGGTTTGTAGTGAATGACCAACTAATCACAGTGTTTGTAGAAGATGATTGCACTATGATCGTCCATCCCGCATTGGAATAGGGAAGTGATAGAAAACTCTAGCTTCTCCTCACCATGTGGCTGATATTGTCTCAATAGGATGAGTATCTAAGGACAAGTCAGTGGTGGGAATGAATTTACCAGAAGCCAGCGTTATGATGGCTAAAGAAATGATTCGAGAAGGATATGAGATAGGCAAGGGTCTTGGGCATAACTTGCAAGGAATTCTAGAACCAATAGAGTTTCAAGGAAAGAAGGACACTTTTGGACTAGGGTTTCAACCTGCTGCCAAGGACAAGAAAGAAATGCTGGATCGCAAGAGAGCGGAAAGGAAGGAAAGCGAATTATCAGGAGTATCCTACCGTTGTACTGCACTTATTCCTGTCCATCTGAAGTGATTAGATCTGAAGTCGACCCGATCGATGAGGTGGATATTAGTTTGTCGGAGCTATTCGCGGGGGTTACTCATGAGGGTGAGCCATCAGAGAATCCAGAATTTTCAGAAGTCTCCAGGGAAGCAATGAAGAATTGGACCAGCGATTTCCTTCCCTCCTGAAGGGAATTTCAGTAAATCTAGGGGATTGCCTTTGGTTGAGAACTATAAAAGATATCATTCGCATTGCTCATTTTTTGCATTTCAGTTTTGTAAATAGTTTTGAATCAGATGTCTTTTCAATACAAGTCTTATGTTAAATAGCGTACCTTTTGTTAAGTAACGTATTATGACGTTTTATCCTTTATTTGAAATTCAATGAAATGCACAGTGTTCATTTTCCAATTGTTTTACTTACGCTTTGTTGTATCTATCTCATTCTTTTTCAGATGACCAAACATAAAACACATTGACCCTTTGGATATCACTATTTCGTAATTTGATGATTGCAATCTCGATATCTCTCACGAATTTGAACTTATGGATTCAGAAATTCAAGACGAGAGCGATAACGAGAAGAATCTGAGTCTTTGTTAAAGAATTTTGAACAATATGAAGAGAAATCCAAACCGAACTTAGAAGAAACAGAAACTATTAATATAGGCACTGAGATCGAGATTAAGGAGATAAAAATTAGCATCCATTTGAATAAAAAATAGAGAAAAGAGATGATTGAGTTTTTTACCATATTTTAAGATGTGTTTGCTTGGCCCTATGATGACATAACGAGCATTTCCATAGATATCGTGGTTTACAAATTGCCAACGGATCCAAATTTTTCACTGGTGAAACAAAAGCCTCGCAAATTCAAACAGGACATCAGTCTTAAAATCAATGAGCAAATTAAGAAGCAACTCAATGCCAGGATTATTATGGTATCGCATTATCCTATTTGACTTACAAATCCAGTCCCGGTCCTGAAGAAAAGTGGAGAGGTAAGAGTATGTGTTGACTACCGAGATTTGAATAAAGCTAGTCCGAAGGATGATTTTTCCTTGCCAAACATACATATCCTTTTGGACAACACCGTTAGGCATGAGATCGAGTCCCTTGGTGATTGTTTCGCCGAGTACCACCAAATTTTAATGGCAAAAGAGAACAGAGAGAAAATTGCTTTCATTACTCCATGGGGAACGTTTTGCTACCGACTAATGCCATTCGGATTGAAAAATGTTGGAGCTACTTATCAAAGGACCATGACCACCTTATTCCACGATATGATTCATAAGGAGATAGAAGTTTATGTGGATGACATCATCATCAAATCTAAGAGAGCGGAGAATCATTTGGTTAATTTGAAAAAGTTATTTGAAAGATTGAAAAGATATAATTTGAAATTAAATCCTGCGAAGTGCGCTTTCGGGGCTCCCGTCGGCAAGTTAATGGGGTTCATTGTTAATAAAAAGGGCATAGAGATAGATTCGGCGAAAATTAAAGCAATTCATGAAGTGCCAGTGCCAAAAACACAAAGGGATGTGAAGAGTTTCTTAGGAAAGATTAATTTCATTGGAAGATTCATTGCTCAATTGACTTCTACCTGTGAGCCTTTATTTAAATTATTGAAGAAAAATGTGCCATTGTATTGGAGTGAAGAATGCCAGCAGGCTTTTGACAAGATCAAGGATTATTTATTGCATCCTCCGGTTTTAGTGTCACCCAAGTCGGGTCAACCTTTGATTATGTACCTGTCTGTGCTCGACGAGGCTGTGAGATGTGTTTTGGGACAGCATGATGATTTTGGGAAAAGGGAGCAAGCCATTTATTACCTTAGCAAGAAGTTTACGTCTTACAAGACAAAATACTCATTTCTTGAAAGGAATTGCTGTGCATTGGCCTGGACAATCCAGAAACTGAGGCATTATTTGCTTAGTCACACCACCTATCTTATCTTTCGTTCAGATCTTTTGAAGTACTTATTGGAGAAACCAATGCCGACCGGACACATGGCAAAATGGCAAATGATCCTTTCTGAATTCGATATCATCTTCACCATGCAAAAGTCAGTCAAGAGGCAGGCGGTAGCAGATCATTTGGCTGAAAATTCACTAGAAGACGATTATCAACCGCTTCACACTTATTTTCCAGATGAGAAGGTCCTGTTTGTTGGTATAGCGAAAGATATGAATAATCAATGCCCTGAGTGGAGACTATTCTTTGATGGTGTTTCAAATTCTTTTGGAGCTGGTATTGGAACTGTTCTAGTATCGCTTGAAAGAAAGCATTACCCCGGTTCCGCTAAACTGCGATTTTTCTGCACTAACAATATGGCTGAATATGAGGCTTGTATTTTTGGACTAAAAATGGCGTTGGAGATGGAGATCAAGGATTTAATAGTGTTTAGTGATTTCGATTTTCTCGTGCATCAAACGCTCAGAGAATGAATCACTCGAGAATCAAAGATCTTGTCATATCATTGCAGTTTACTAGATTTGCAAACAAATTCAGAAGTTTGGAGTTCAGGCATATTCCACGTGCCAGAAATGTTTGCTAATGCTCTGGTTACTTTATCTTCAATGATTCAACATCCAGATGAGTTGATGATTGAACCTATCCAAATTCAGTTACAAGAAAAGCCTGCACATTGTTTGGTTATAAAAAAAATCTTCTGATGGCCGTCGCTGGTACAGCGATATCAAGAAATTTCTCAAAATCGGATCCTATCCTCCAAGTGTTGATACGACTGCTAAAAACTTCTTGCGCAGATTATCATCCAAATTTTTCTTAAATGGGAAGGTGATATACAAAAGGACATCAGATTTGGGCCTTCTAAGATGCGTTGATGTAAACGAAGCAGATTATTTGATGAAAGAAGTGCTCAGTGGTGTATGTGGATCACATATGAATGGCCATTTATTAGCAAAGAAGATAATGAGGACAGGATATTTTTGGCTTACTATGGAGCATGATTGTGTAGTTTTTGTCAGAAAATTTATTAAATGTCAATTGCATGGGGATGTTATGCGCACTTCTCCCACAGAATTACACAGTATGATTGCTTCCTGGCCATGTTCAATTTGGGGTATTGATGTAATTGGAACCATTGACCCTCCTGCTTCAAATGGGCATCGTTTTATCCTGGTGGCGATTGAATACTTTACAAAGTGGGTCGAAACTGAGTCTTACAAGCAGGTGACTAAGAAGGTGATGACAGATTTTCTAAAAAAACACATCATTTGTTGTTTTGGCGTGCCAGAGACATTAATCACTGACAATGCAAAGAATCTCAATAATGACATGGTGGATGGATTGTGCGAGCAGTTCAAAATCAAGCATCAGAATTCTACTATTTATAGACCGCAGATGAATGGAGATGTGGAGGCCGCGAATAAGAATTTGAAAAAGATAATCCGTAAAATGACTGAAAGGCATCGTGATTGGCACAAGTAGGTGACTATGTAGGTGACTGACAATGCAAAGAAGGTGATGGCAGATTTTCTATTGAAAAAGTCTTACGAGTAGGTGACTAAGAAGGTGATGACAGATTTTCTAAAGAAACACATCATTTGTTGTTTTGGCGTGCCAGAGACATTAATCACTGACAATGTAAAGAATCTCAATAATGACATGGTGGACGGATTGTGCGAACAGTTCAAAATCAAGCATCAGAATTCTACTATTTATAGATCGCAGATGAATGGAGCTGTGGAGGCCGCGAATAAGAATTTGAAAAAGATAATCCGTAAAATGACTGAAAGGCATTGTGATTGGCATGAAAAACTCCCCTATGTATTAATGGCATATAGAACGGCTATTCGGACTTCTATTGGGGCGATACCTTACAACCTCATGTACGGAATGGAAGCAGTTCTGCCAGCTGAGGTTGAATTCCCTTCCTTGCACATACTAATGGAGACCAAACTGGATGAAGCTGACTGGATTAAACAACGTCACGAGCAATTGTCTTTGATTGATGAGAAAAGGTTAAATGCCATTTGTCATGGTCAGTGCTATCAAAAGAGGATGGCCCGTGCTTATAACAAAAAGGTCAGACCACAACTATTCACAGAAGGAGATAAAGTGTTGAAACGAATTTTGCCAGTGCAAGAGGAGGTTAAGGGGAAGTTGCGAGGACCCGAAAATTTTCTTATTTATCGAATATTACAAGTTTATTTAAATATTTATTTTCTCATTTTCTCCGAATTATTTATTTCGACCATTTACAGATCCATTTATATGGAACAACGCCTCTTTTATATTTTAAAACGTTTTGTTGGAAAATTCAATTTTTGAAAATTCGTTTAGTTCGGAATAACGAGTACACGTTTTTCGAGGCTATACTTGAATCGGGAGTGTATTAATATTGGAGAATTAAGAATGATCAATAGTAGATAAAGAAAAGTTAATTGAAGAATTTAAGGTGAATGAGTTCTAAGTAAGTGTACCGCTTGCGCGTCAATAATTTTCCGAAAGACGCGCTGATACAAATTTATTGGAGATTTGAGGAAGTAATACAAGACTCATGTGAAGATTCACAAAATTCATCTATTTTAAACTCCTAATTCAAGCTCATTTAATTATTTATTTGGCCAATTACCTGAATATTATTTTCTAACCTTTTTAGACCTAATTATATGAATTTATAGCTTAGTTATATTTTTAAAGTGACTTGTTTCAAAATTTAATTTTTGGAATCTCGTTAAGTGAAAATAGTGAATACGCAATTCGAGTTACTAATCGATTCGAGGATAAAATAAGTTTGGAAAATTAGAGGCTTGCACAATGGTCTTAAAATAGGTGTTTTTATGCCTAAGTATTCAAGTGATAGTTAGTGGTACTATCATTATAAGAATTTCTTAGAGATTTCGCGTTATCGCGCTTAAATTGGAAATACGCATTTTCACACGCGCGATTAATTGAGGAGCCTTAGACCATTATTTTGGGACTATTAAGAGTGAATAATAATAATATGAATGTAAGTGCATTAGAGGTTTAGTGGACTAGTGCAATAAACTCAAGAGGAATCGAACACGAAACGCACGTGCACGTGCATTATTTTAGTGGACAACTTTGAATAAATTTGAGCCACAAGTTTTAAGCCTACCTTAGAAGCTAATAACATCAGAATTTCCTTCCTCACATACACTCAAACAGCCGAGCAACAAAGGAGGAACAAGACCCGAAAATTCCTCCACTCTTTCTCCTCAAATCCTTGCTCAAATTACCTCTAAATTTTACACACAACACTCAAATCACTTGGTGATCAAGATAAGCTAGGAAAGGAACTGCCTCTCACGGTTTTTCTCCAGCTCAAAGTGACCGGAATTTCGGTCTTGGCTCTCTAAGAAAGTAAGTAATGATCAACCACTTAATTCTTGATTTATGGAAGATAGATTACACTAATGAGCTCTTGGATTCTCATGGGCAGCTTTAAATTGTTAGAAAATTGGTGAGTGGGCTCTATGAAATCCCACAATGACTTTGATGATCTGATTTGATAAGATTGGATGTTAATTGTGTTGATTAAGTGTTAATTTAGTAGAGTTAAGTGATAAAAGTGAAAAGGAAGTCAAATGAGGGGTTGCATGTGAAGGTGCCGATTCTGCCCTGCCATTTTCGTGCATTTTAGTGTACTTTCTTGAAGTCTAATTGACTTGTTTCTGATGCAAATGTGTAATATAGGTTGTGTATAAAGTTTCCTCAAGATTTTACGTGATTTGGGTGAGTGCATGTTGAGATTTAGAAAATTTGCCAAAACTGAAAAATGATTCCCGTTACTACCAGACAGTCATCTTGTTTCGGCTATAATTCATCGCTCCGATGTCAGAATCGAGTTCCGTTTGTGGCAATGGAAACTAGACATTTCCAGATTTCATTTGGTATAAAATGTACATTCTGGTTCTTCTCGAGTGAGCCAAACCATTCATTTAAAAATTGTTGTCCTGTTTCGTTTGTCACTGGGAGGCAGATTATGAACTGCGATTTGATGCTCACGTATGAGCTAGTTATGGACAGATTTTAAAAATGGTTTTATCTGAGAAAATATAGCCTTATGAGTCTAATTGTCTAACACCACAAACCATGCTCAATTCCGAGTTGAATTGAGTGATTTATGATCGAAATTCAAAACTGACTTTGTGAACGAATACAGTGTTTTGGACAGATTTGAAACTAACTATGGTTTGGGACTTGTTATCCGAAGCTTCTTAGTGTAAATCATCTATCGAATATACCTTGAACATATTTTGGATATTACCTACTGGAATGAACCATGTTTGAGATGTTCCTTGACCAAATGTTTGGAAATGGCAAAACGAAAGTTCAAAGGCAGCTTAGCCTTAGAATTTCTTGTGATTTCAATGGTTTTGTTAACCCATTTCTGTGCTTATTTTTCCATGAAATTTGGTAGAGGAACAACCCTTATACAGTGGTATTATACTGCTAATTTTGGTATTATTTCGAGGCCGTTTCATGGTTCAACTAAATTTCCAAAGTTCATGACTTAATGTTGGAAAACCCTCGTTTAGCCAGGAAATTTGGGTAACTTTGAGCTACCATATCTTGGTGCTCGAAACTTCAATTCTCATTCCACTTGCTTTGTTTTAAACCTTGTTTATAACTCTAATGGAGTTCCAAATTTCAAAGGCTGGTTCGCAATGGGTGAATTTTGCCAAATTTCCAAAGTTGGCCAAAAACTAACCCCGAAAACTGTCTTCATGTTCAAAACAGCAACTTTGAGCCAAATTTTGTATACTTTCCGTCTGGAACCATGAAAAAAGTGTATTCTATGAAATTTTAGTACTTTGGAAGAAGTTTCCAACGGTACCAATTTTTCCAATTTTTGACTTGTAAAGCGTGAGATACGATTTTTCTAATGTATCGTATCAAAACTGAAATTTTCCGAATTCCAAGGAAATGGAGTTTTTCAAGTACTCCTTATTCCTTTGATATTACTTGAACATTTTATACCTGATTTCCAAGATGAAAACAAAATTTCTCTTGTACTTTGAAATCCCACTTGAGAGTCTCAATTTAGGATAATTTAGGCTTGTTTCACGAGACTTTCTAAGGTTGTACTATGGTACGATCTTCTTTAATAGTAGGGATTTGTGAATGATAGTCTATTATTATTTGCTCAGGCGTACACGAGAACCTTCAAGAGAATTCCACAGTAAATGCCTAAAACTCCGAGGAACATTTCTTCCTCATTACTCATATTGGTGAGTGTCAAGTGTATGAATACTTTATACAAATTTAATTATTATGATTGTTTGGAGATTATGAAAATAGAGGCGAGTGTGTACTTTACCGCACTCGTTCTTATTTGAAATAAATGACTCATGATTCAAATGTACTAAATGAATTATGAATGACTTAATTGAATGAAATGAGATGATTGAATGATTGAATGAAATGAAATAATATGCTATGGCTGCATACGTCGTTGGAGTGAATTTCCTCGACTCTCAAATGTAAATGGGGAACGCCCAAACTCATAGGCCGACCTTGGACTCGAGCTGGCATGGGCTTGGTCGGGAACCTTGGCGAGCCATGAGATAATGAAACTCGATATAATGAGAGGTCTTGCTTGGCATACTCGTGGAGTATCGCCTTATAAATGTTTTGCGGGCCCGGGAGGTGCACGGTGGATGGAGGAAAGTAAGTGGTGATCTCCGAAATGGAAATACCGACCCGGTTGACAGAGTGTCATCGCGAGAAGGTATACGAATGACATCGGCAGAGCAAGTGGAACTTAGCTCTTGAGAGCTACTATATCCTTGAATTGTTTCTGTTTACTTTTCCCGCTCGAATTGTTATTTATTGCAATATTATTGCTCTATTTGTTAAATTGGGATTGTTACTTGAACAATGTGCTTGCATGTGTGTTCTTTGCCTCACAAGCATTTTGCTCACCCTGTAGATTTATTTTCCTTAATAGGATTTGAACCTGGAATGAGATTCGGAGGAAATTCTCTTTTGTGTACTCTTGTAATAGGGTTCCAACTCTTTGTCTAGACTTTTGGCTATTGTATATTTTGGGCTGTAATATGGAAACCCGATGTAAGGATTGGGTGATTATTATATATCATTAAACTTGAACGCTTCCGCACTAATTGTATTATATTATTTGGTTGTGGGCTTTCAGCACCGCTATAAGCTTGAATATTACTTGAGTCCTGGCGAGAGTTAGGCAGGCGTCCCGCGGATACCCTTTGGTTCGCCTTAGGGAGAAGTGGGGGCGTCACAGAAGTTTGCACCAAATTGGCAGGGCCTTTTATTGTCCAGAGAGTATTGCCTGGTGGAGCACTTGTTCTCACAGAAATGGATGGACAAGTTTTCTCTCAGCCGATCAATTCGGATATGTGTAAGAAATTCTTCATCTAATAAATGAAAGTTTTCTTTCAGGGTTAATGCGAGGAATGGAATAAAAGTCAGACTTTCTTCCCTTT